CTCTTGACCTCGTGATCCACCTGCTTCGGCCTCCCAAAGTGCTGGCATTACAGGCGTGAGCCACCACACCCGGCCTTCTGTTAGTATTCCTTTTTATTTTAGTATCGTTATTTTTATTTTCTTTTCCTGCAAATTTTCCATCCACGGTTGGTTGAATAAATGGGTTTGACTGTATATGTAAAGTGCTAATAATGGTTCTTAACACATAGTAAGTGCTATGTGCTGTTTACTTAAAAAACAAAAACACAGGGCCGGGCATGGTAGCTCATGCCTGTAATCCCAGCACTTTCAGAGGCCGGGACAGGAGGATTGCTTGAGCCCAGGAGTTCGAGACCAGCCTGGGGAACATAGTGAGACCCCATCTCTAAAAAGGAAAAACAGGCAAATAAAAACACAAAACAGTTCCAAAGAGCCCAGGCTTGGTTCCTTTGGTGCCTGCATTCATGACTCTTGGGGCCAGGGACCTCTGTGATATTGCAAACTCTTCAGCAAGACTGGAGCCCCCAAAACCTCAGAGCAAGGAGACACCAGGCTGTGCTGTGCGCTTGCCATTGGAATGGGCTCCCTCTCAAAGGCTGATTCTTCCTGAGTCCAAACCAAGAACATTTGGTTATAAAAATACCGAAAGGGGACCAGGCACGGTGGCTCAGGCCTGTAACCCCAACACTTTGGGAGACCAAGGTGGAAGGATCGCTTGAGCTCAGGAGTTTGAGACCAGCCTGAGCAACATAGTGATGCCCTGTCTCTATAAAAAAGTTTTAAAAAAATAATTGGGCATGGTGGTGCACACCTGTAGTCCCAGCTACTTGGGAGGATCTCTTGAGCCCAGGAATTCAAGGCTGCAGTGAACTGTGCTTGTGCCACTGCACTCCAGCAGCCTGGGTGACAGAGTAAGACTCTCTTAAACAAAAAACCACAGGGAAGGAGGCCTGGGTGTGAAGGCGGTTCACCCCAAGAACAGTCCAACCAGGGGCTCTAGGGCTCCTGTGCACACCTGGTGTCACTGTGGGCACCAGGGTGCCACATCAGAGGATGCAGGGGCTTCTGCAGGGGCCTGGGGCTTGAATGGGGCGGAGAAGTCATTAATATACCCAGGACACTCAATGCCTGTTGTTTTTCCTCACAGGCCGACGCTGCTACCAGCTTTCTGAGAGCAGCAAGATCAGGTAACTTGGACAAAGCTTTGGATCACCTGCGGAATGGGGTAGACATTAACACCTGTAACCAGGTAAGCGGGATGGAGGCAGGCCTGTTGTCTCTGAAGAGTAGCTCTTGCCTGATGCCATTTCCTGAGAGCTTTGAAACTGCCTCTATTAACCTTTTCCCAGTGGCCTCAAAACTCCCCCATGGCTTCTGCCTGCGGAAGGCCCTAACCTTGCTGTTTCCACTTCTGCCGTGGCCCAGGGCCCCACAGAGAAGTGCTGATGCCTGAACAGTGTGGGCGAGGCCCGCATAGATCCCCTGCAGTCTCCTCGCTTAGAAGTTCCAGTCAGTCCCTGCTGTTGTCTTAGAATATGTGGCCTTTGAATTGGGGCCGGAGGAAGAGCCTTTGAAAGATACTGTGTCAGTAGGGACGTTCAGT